GGCCACCATTCCTGTTGGCTCGGACTGGAGACAGAGGCAGGCCCCCGGGGAGGGTGATTTGCTGGTTCTCACTCAGAGAACAAGAGAAGAAAAGCGGAGGAAAAGGTCACCAATCTGCAGAACCCCCAAGAACGTTGGGAAGCAGCGACTTATCCCTCACTTTGCGCGAAAGGGGCACAATCGGTAACCACGATCTATTGAACTCTAACTCAGGAGCCAGGCGCTGTGCCAGGTGCTTACACATACCTTGTCTCTGCCTCTCTAATCCTCCCAACAGCCACGCTTGGTCCTACCTCAGGGCCTTTGCCCTTGCTTTCTCCCCTGGCCGAGGAACACTCTTCTTTCAGAGGCCCACAGGGCTAATTCCCCAAAGACCTTCAGGCCTCACAGTAAATGTTGCCTCCCCATAGAGTCCTTCCCTGACCAGCCTACATAAAAAGCACCTTTCTCCATAAGTCTCCACCCCTTACCTTACTTGCTTGCTTTTCCTTTTCCTTCATTACCATATATATATATATATATATATATATATATATATATATATATATATATATATATATATATATATATATATATATATATCCTGTGTCTGTTTCTCTCCTCTAGAGTTTAAATTTCCAAGGGCAAGGATTTTTGTCTGTTTTATTCCTTGCCAGCTCTCCAATATGCACAAGAATGCCTGACTCAAGACAGAATCCTATAAATATTTGTTCAATGGGTAGAGAAATGATCAATGGATCTCACCGAACATATAAAAAGATGGTCAGGGAGACAAAATTACTCTCCCAAGAGTTACACAGCCGGCAAGGGGTGAGTTGGGATTTGAGTTTGGGTCTGTCCCTTTCCTTGGGACTTTTCCTTTTCCGTAGCACTTATCACCACTTATGTATTATTTCTGGGCCTGTGTTTGGCGTCTCTCTCCTCTCCCACCGGAATGGGGGCTCCAGTGAGAACAGAGTTCATGTGTTTTGCTCATAGTTGTCTCCCCAGCACCCAGACAGCGCTCCCCAGCACCCGGGAAGCAGCTCATAAATATACACTGAGCGACACTTCATTCTCACAAGCAATCCTGCAAAGTATGTTTCCTCTGTGCTATTTTACACATGGGGACATTGAGGCTCAACCAGAGAAGTGATTTGCCTTGCTTAAGGTCAACTGGCTAATGAATAGAAAGCTGGGATTTGAACCCAGGCCTCCTGAGCTCATTGGTCATGGAGAAGGGGACCCCCATTTAACGCTTGCTGGTTCGACCCACCCAAAGGCAACAGCTGCTTGGCCGAAAGCTCCACTCACACCCTACCAGGGAAGGCATTTCCCCCTCAAGGTCAGCAGTGTCAGGGCCGATGTGAAACTCACCCTTAATGCACAACTCCCCAGTTTCGTCCATTTAAGTGAAAACTGTGATGTTATTTTAACCCAAATCCCCCGTTGACTTCAATGGAAGCTTTGAATCCACGAGGAAGGTCAGACAGTGTTTTTGGAGGTAACATGGGCACCCAATGGAAATCATATTAGCATACTCATTATCATCAGGGCCCTTTGAATGTGTTTTTTAGCTGCTCCCTTAAAGTTGACTTGGTGACAATGGATCCTTTCTGTTCAGGAATCACTGGGCCAGAGTGGAGCTGCGGTCGGCTCCTGTGTGCTTTTCTGTGCTTTTCAAATGATGACAGTGAACCCATGTTGCATAAGGTAATGGAAAGAACGCCATCCACCAGGCACCCTGGTGGTGAATGAAGTACATTGTCTGGGTTTGAAAGAAATAACTCTTTAAGTCACTTGTGCTGGGACCCCAGGGATGGGCTCAGGTAACAAAAGGTGTTGCTAAACGGCCTTCCAAGAAAGCTGGCCCCTGTTAACGGGAGGCCCCTGGGCACAGAAAAAAAAAAAAAAAAATCAGGGATTGGCCTTGGTTGACAAGATGGTTGTTCAACTTGAGAAAATTCCAGAATTGCCTGGGGAGCATTTACTACACCCAGTGCCCAGCGCCCCCACATCAGACCATTTGGCTCCAAATCCTGGGAAGTGGGGAGACCAGAAGGCATCAAAGGTTTCTAAGTGTCCTCAGATGACTCCGGTAGGCCAAGCGGCAGCTAGTAAGTAGAGCTGAACTGATCTCTTGTCAAACCAGAGGGGAGGGGAAGAGAGAAGTTGTGGGTGGTGACAGCGGAGAGGGAAGGGCGATCGCAAGTCCTCTGGGGATGTGTCCGGGAAGAGGAGCTTCGGAGAAGACACCCTGGTTTTTGTTTCTGCTCTTAGGGAAATGTTCAAACTACGGAAAAGTGCAGAGAATCGTACGACGACCCCACTGCCTGGTACCAGCCTCATCAATCAGCAACACGGAATCCCTTCAGTGTGAGGGGGTTTAAGGTGCGTGCTGCAGGCAGGTGGTGCGCCCCAGCTTCCCTGGGAGCCTCCTGGAAAGCCCACGCTGCTCATCAGTGATTCCGTGACAGCAGATCCTTGGCTGGAACACAGAACTCCAGCGCCGAGTTCTTGGGCTGGAACGTGATTTGACAGGAGAGCCAACAGCTGGGACACAGGACTTTTGTATTAAGGCGAAAACAGTTATATTCAAAAAGAAATTGCCACGCATTTGTCCTAATCCCTCCTTGACTTGTCTCCTTGGTTCTCTTGTTTGGGGATAGGGCCTTGGGGCTTACCCCTTAAAAGGATCAAGGAGGTGAGTGAGTAGCCTGGGAACACCTGGAGGGTGACAGCTGGGCCAGGGTGTCTCCAGAAAGCCCTACTTTGTGTGCTCCTTTGTTCTTCCGACAAAGATTCACGGAGCACCTCCTTCATGCCAGGGGTCGTGTTCTAAGTTGTGGGTTCACGCAGCTCACACAGTCGAGTGCAGGAGATGGATGGTCAACAGAAAAGACAATGGGCAGCAAGTCGGACTGTAGCACTCGTGCTACAGAAAAAAAAAAATAAAGCAGGGAAGTGGACGAGGGCGGCTGGCAATCGTTAGTAAGATGCCCAGGGAAGGACTCTCTGCCAAGGTGACCCAAAGAAGGTGAGGGAGGAGCCAAGAAGGAGGAGCATTCGAGGCAGAGGGAATGGCACATGCAAAGGCCCAGTGGTGGGAACATTCCTTCCAAGAACAGCGAGCACGTTGTGTGGCTGGAGCAGAGGGAGAGTGGGGGACAGGGCTGGCAGGTGATGCCAGGGAGGCAGCCGTGGAAACCGGTGAGGCCAGAGTGGCAGACCATGAAGGCCTGTAAAGACCTTTGTTTTTCCCACGTGAGAGGGGGAGTAATTGGTGGGTTTTGAGAAAAGGGATTGGAAGATCTGGCTTTTGTTTTCATGGGACCCCTCTGGCTGCCGAGCGCAGAACGATTATAGAAGGTGGGTACAGAAACTGGAGAAGGCTACTGTGTTCATCCCAAGGAACAGGGGACCGAGGCCCAGACCGGGGTGGTCAAGGTGAGCATGTCTCTGGAACCACAGAGGTGGTCGGTTTCTGGAAATGTCTGCCGGGTAGAGCCAATAGGATTTGTTGGCTGAAAGAATGTTGGGGTAGGAGACCAGCAGGGGGGTCAGGATGACGCCAAGGTGTTTAATCTCGGCAACTAGACAGGAAGGTTTGGCATTTCCTGAAATGGAAGTCTTGCAAGGAGGGATGCTTTGGGGAGGCATGGTGGGAAGTTGTGTTTGGAACAGGTTAAAATTGAGGTGTGTAGGCAACACAAAATGCATGTGGACGTATGAACCTGGGGTGCAGGGGAGCAGCCTGCCCTGGCGTCCCACCGCCCAGATGGTGTGTGATAGCCTGATCATAGGCAGGGGAGTGGGCCAAGCACAGACCTGGGCCTCTCGTGAGCCAGGCACCAGGCCAGGCTGTGTCTTCTGGCCTCCTCAGGCCAGAGTCACGCCTGGGGCTTACACGGAGGGGGTTACTGCCCCCTCTCCATTGGCCACTTCCCATTATTAGCATTTACCCTGAGGTTGAAGAGGAAGGCTGATCCAGCCTCATTTAGGATGAAAAGGGCTGAAACTCTCAAGTTAACTGGAGCCGTGGGAGCTGTTGCCAAACTACGTGCAGGGATTGGAAGGCAGGAATTCTGAGCGCGCCTCGCAGAAGGTGGTTTAGCCGCTGGGAGACCATTCAGGACCCAGGGCTCAGGACCCAGGACAGAGCTCACTCTCGGCCTCCTAGGCAGCAGGTGTCTGCGGGCCTCCACCTCCCCTTCCGCCTTCCCGCTTCCCTCCTCTCTCCGGAGGTTTGGGCTTCCTCATTAACCCTGCGCCTTCATACGGTCTTGGCACTATCCGACCTGGCCTGGTCTTCCAGCTTTTGTGCATTTGACCCAACTCTCTTCGACCCAAACCCCAACCGGCAGCCGGGATGGGTGCCGATTGGTTTGGTTAATGCTGATTGGTTTAGTCGAACTACCCTCAGCTGTGCTGGGTGGAGCTTTTGCCCCAGGCTATATCATTGGCTGTTGGTTAGCCTATCTCTTGGCAGCCTTTGGGTCAGGTGACTTCCCCTGCTCCAATCGGCTGTTGGGGCACTTAACGGAAGTGGATGCAGACTCTAAGAGCCACCGTGGCAATGGCAATAGTAGTAACAGCCGCGTGAGGTATTGATCACGGTAGACTCTGGATCAGGCAGTTTGGGTTCAGGTTCAAACCCTGCCCCTACCACTTACGGTGACCTTGGGCAGCTTTCAACCTAACTGTGCCCCCATCTCCTCCTCTTTAAGCGGAGAATAATAACGTTAACTACGTCTTAGGGTTACGGTGAGGATTACTAAACTAGGCAATGAAACATCTACAGGACATATTTAATTAGGGTTGCATTCAAAAATGTAATTAAAAATGTAATCACCGTTGTCATTACTACTGGTCGGACAGTTCTTCTGCCCTTAAGTGTTTTAAAGGCACGTTCTCACTCAATTCTTCACAAAAATGCCAATGCAACAGGCTGTGTTTTTAATCCCACCTGACAGACGTGAAAATGGAGGTACAAAGGAGTTATGTGAGTTGTCCAAGGGTCCCTCAGCTAGTGAGGGGTAGAGCCGGGTTAATAACCCAGGTTTGACTGGCCCTTGACTCAGAACCATTGCTCTGAATCATCATGTCTCCTGACGGGCGCATCTATGTGTAACTGCCCACTGTGGCCCACTTCTTCCGTGAGGCTGCGGGTAGGAGCCCGCCCAGAAGGGGCAGCACTCTGCCTGAAACTGCCCCCAGCCCCACCCCAGCTCTCCCTGCCCTCCAAAGAGACAATGCAATCTGCTGAAGTACGTTCTGCGCAGGTCACCAGCTCTGATCTGCAAAGGCCATTCCTATCCCTTGTCCTGTGTGGTCCTTAATGCCTGGGTAAGTCAGCAGAGCAGGGATTATTCTTCCCATTTAACGGATGCAAAGACTGAGACTCACCAAAAGGGAATCAGGATTTGAACCCAGGTTTGTCCCTTTCCCTTCCTCTATCCTCCCCATGCCCTGCAGGGCAAAACTGAAGGGAATTTGGGAGCCACTGGATGTTCTGGAACTGGGTAAAATTAAGGCGAGAAGAAACTGGGATTAGAGCTGGAAGGCGCCTCCTTGTACTGGGCCCACAGAGGCCAGGAAGTCACTGGGCCTGTATCCTGACCACTGCTTAGCAATGTAGCCAGTTCTACAGTCTCCTACTCATACTCATGGTCCGCAGTTCATTCAGGGTATAAAGAAAGTGGAATGACACGAATTTCTGGTGCCAGCTTAGTTTAATGAAATATGCCCGCTACCCCAGCCAAAGGATTGCAGGAAGGAGGGGGCATCTGCAGGCTCACGGCTTATGTTCACCTCTTCAGGCACTTACATTCCAAGCATGGGCCTTGTCCGTGCTCCAGGGTAATTTCCAATAAATGGTCCCGGGCTGCACATGTGTGGGTGCCTCAGCACCTCCCTGGAATCTGATGGACGAGGATTTGAACCTCCACCTTGCACCTACTCACTGTGTGGCCTGGGGCAAGCCACTTAACCTCTCGGGGCTTCTCTTTCCTCATATATGATCCTTTCTCATTGGGTTACTGTGAGGACAGAGTAAGATATATTCGTATGGTGCTTGTTAAAGTGCCTACGCGTTTATTGTTATTTTAGGCATTAAAATCCCCTGGTCCCCCCCACAAAAAAACTTCAGAACTTGCTGTTGGCATGGGAATGATTAAAAGATTTGCCTTTTAGGAACATAAAAAAAATAATTAAGAAGGAAAGGTTATTATTTTGGTGACAGCGTGGAGGATGTCGCAGGAGGGACAAGAATGGAATTGAAACATGTCCGCTAAGTGTGTGTTTGGCTACTGGTAGCAAAAAAAAAAAAAAAAAAAAAAAAAAAAAAAAAAAAAAAAAAAAAAAAAATCCAACAGTGCAACAGATTTCTAGTTTTTCCTCAATATCCACTCTCTCCTTTTGTCAACAGAATCCCTAATTTCAGCAGGACATGTGGCAGCCCAGAATGAAGATTACACTTCCCTGCTTTCTTCCCGAATCCTAGGTATGTCCATGTGAGTTCTTACCAGTGAGAAATGTTTTGTGTGGCTTCTAGAAAATGTCTTAAACAGGAGAATAGACATCTCACTCCTCTCTTTCTCTTTGCTGGCTGGAATCTGAAATGTGACGACTGGCTCTCAAACAGCCATGCTGGCCCATGTGATGAATTAAAGATGGCTACTGATTCTTTGGTCCTTCTTCCTTCAAGAGGAAGAGTTTGTTTGGACTTCCTCTCCTCTTAAATCTGGGCTGGCCTGTGACTTATTGGACCAACAGAATACAGTGGAAATGATGCTCTGCCAATTCCGGACTTTGGCCCTTAAGGAAACTGGCAGATTCTGCCATGGTCTCTTGGATCCATGGCTGCCAAGGAAAAGGTCCAACCACTCTGCTGGAGACCCCCCTGGAGAAGCCCTAAGACCTCACGGAAAGGAATTAGGGACCCGGCTGAGCTCAGCACTGCGGTCTTCCCAAACCATCTTGGTCCTCCAGATGAAACCAATCATCAGCTGGACGCGGCCAAGTGACTAGTCAACGCCCATGGATAAGAAGGACCGCCCAGCTGAGCCCTGGCCGAATTTCATACCCGCAAAACTGTAGAAAATAATCAACATGATTATTGTTTGGGGAGTGTCTGTTGGGTACCAATACATAACCAGAACAGACCATGAGATAGAAGGTATTTGTTGAGGATGCTGTAACAATTACACCATCTGGAGGTCTGGCCGCCTCCGGATATTTTGTCCTACATGAAAAGTAGACTCTGTTTGTTTAAGCTTTGATGATACCTTGGGTCGTGGCTCATGGCCTCAGTTTCCCCACAATTATTCATTGGAGCATTAACGCCTGCCCTGTTACCTCCTTTTGCATGTAATACAAACAGTGCGTATCCAAAAAGACCATGGGGCGTGCCCAAGTCGTTATGATACATTTCATGTGTCCGTAATCGGATATGAACTTGTCGGGGGGCCAACTGCAATGGGTTTTGGAATCAGATATGTTGGGACTGGAGGCTCAACTCTGCTACTTTCTAATGTGAAAAAATCGGACCAGCCACTGAATCTCTCTGAGCTTTGTTTCCTCATCAATAAAAAACAGACGATGCCTACTTCCCTTGTAGAGTCTGTGTGAGGATTAAATTAAATGAGATGAATCCATCTGTCTGATAAACGCTGAATATCTCCTATGTGCTAGGCCAGACCCACTCCTGATATTGGTGGGGTCTGGGCTCCCCCCCATCCCCCCAAATCTAAATGTTTAAACATTATACATCAAGCTAATATATTGTTTTTAACATGTTCTATCCTTCTCCTCGATGAATGTAAGTAACCTCACAACAACCTGGAAGGCCAGGTTCAGTTTGGAAACCTCAGACCCCCCAGACGTGCAGAATGGTGGCAGTGGCCCCTTCCCTTGTCATCCCCAGCCCCAGGCCACGCTGTGCAGACCCCACATGCATGTGTGTAGACATCCCATGCCTTTACAAGCTCCCTCCACCCCCATGCTCCACACTGCCCTTTGCCTACCCCCCAGGCCTAGTGTTCTGCTTCCAGAGAACATACCAGCAAGCGGCTTGCACAGGCCCTGAAAGCCAGCTTGGAACCTTTGAATTTCAGGAATCCTGGGAACCCAGAGTATGTCTAGAAAAGAGATAAAGGCTTGGGTGGCTATCTCCCCTTGGCCCTGGGGGGGGGGGGTCATACACAGCTGGAGGAGGGCCAGAGAGAGGCCCTTTAATGCGTGAGAACAAGGGTAGGGTCCCCCTTGCCTGGATCTAAGGGCCAGGTCAGGCCTATGCTGGTGGGGCTCATCAGCGAATGAAACTGGTAACAACAAGCCACCTGACCCATTCCTTCAGTCTGGGCCTCGGTGTCACCTTGTCTATAAAAGGAGGACTTAGCGGATCTCATACCTTGGTCGGAGACCAAGGGCTGGTGAATGTCACCGCAATCTCTTAGAGGCCAGGAGATCAGAAGGCTAGGGGGCGGGTTTAAGAGCTAAGTGACCAACTTACGTTCCCCGTGTCCTCCCTGTGGCAAGAGCCCTCCTCTAGCCTCAGCACTCTCTTTCTGAAGTCATCATCCCTCCTCGCACAGCCACAGTGCGAGTGATTACGCGGCCACACTTGGAGCCCAGCTGTCACCTGCAGTCCGAATCTGGTCTCCACCACGTACTGGACGCTCGAGGAAATGGGGAAATCGTTCAACTCCTTCAACTTCTCATTTCCCTCCAACAGGCGATTCAGCCTCCATTTTCCCATCTGTGAAAGGGGGTCATGCTCTCCCTCAGGTTTGCTGTGAGCTTGGGGCCGACACAGACACGACAGCATTCAGAAGGGAGCCTGGCACAGGCTGTGCACTTACCTGTGCTTCTATTATGTTACCACTTGGTGTTATTTCAAATGATCTTGTCTGTTTTCTCCTTTACTTGTTTACGGTCTTGGAAACACAGACTACCCACAGGCAGCCCTGTCTGCCCCGCTCCCCGCCGCCTCCCGCGCGCGGCGCTCGCAAAGACCGAATTCCAGCCGGCGGCTGGGCCCTGATGCACGCCACCTCCTGGTGCAGATGGGGAAACTGAGGCAGGGGTGTAGCTCCTGGGAGCGAAGGGCCGCAGGGACCAGCCCCGCCGCC